CATATATATATATATATATATATATACTTTTGCTACCATTTATATTAAAATAGGGAAAGAGGCGAGCGAGATGGGAGGGAGTCGCGCTAGATCGTCATATATACCAAATACATAGGAGAGTGAAGAACGATATGGGAGGGAGGTGAGTAAGATTTGTCACCAGATATATGTGAATTCACTGGAAGAAAATGTACATAAAACAAATTTCACATAATTTTGACCTTATATATCTCGAGATACGTGTATTTGAACGTACATAAAAGCACCAAAATCTAATAAATTAGTATTATTGAAAACTAAATATATCTAAGTAATTCTTTCATAAACGAAAGAGACTTTCCAAGTTTCCATATCAATTTGCCTATGAATAAATAATAATACATTTATGTTGGATGAAAAAAAAAATCTTATAAAATAATGCTAACAGTCGTGAATCGTGATAGGGTGATACAAGAACTTTATAATCTTGATATAGTTGATATATGGTGACAACGACAAGTTAACAAAATAAAAAATAAAAATTGGTCTGAATAAATTTATAACATTAAAATTTTATTAAAAATATTAATTCTCTTTATTATTGTGTTTATTTATTATCGCTAAAAATTAATTTTATTGAGTATACATCTAATTCTGACCTTCTGATTCCAACAGATTACAAAAAAAGAAATAAACGAATTGTATTTGCACACAAAAATATTTCCTCTTTAAAATTAATATTTTTTTTTTTGTTGCAATCAATTTCTATCACTTTAAAAAATTTAATGCAAATAACATTAATAATATCTTCAAAATGATTTTGTTTGTAGCACGCAATTACATTTTTGAAACAGTAGGTTCACATCATCTCTTGTTATTTTTTTTAATTAATAAATAAATAAATAGAACAAAACCATGGATGTCGATATGAGAGAAATAAAAAAATAAATCTTGAATAATTCTTCTTATGCAAATTGATTCCTGTCATATTTATTTTAATTATTTAATGCCGTAGACTTTAGGACATTTGACTATCTCAAGATCAATTAACGTTTACGTTTGGCAACAAATCTACAATATATACTACTCTCTCCGTCCAGAATTATTTGTCATGTTTTGCTTATCAAAAGTCAATTTAATTAATTTTCTAAAGTAAATTAGATCACATTAATTTGATATTTGAACAAAAAAATTAGATATTCTAAATTACATGAAAAGTACTATAGATTACAATTTTTATACATATTAATATGATGAAATATTACATCTTAAAATGTTAGTCAAAGATTTTATAATTTGACTCTAAAAATAAAAACCGTGACAAATAATTTCTAAGGAAGGGAATACTTTTTAAAATATCTCAGCTTCCTTGTTTGAAAAGTAATTATATTCTACTTAGAACCCCAATTAAAATATCCAAAGTATTAATCATTACAACAAAAGACAAAATTCTTCTCAATATTTCCTTTTATATTTGTCTCTATTTATTTGTTTATTTCAATAAATAAAAAAAGAATAATAATTTTTTTTCTAATATATCCTTATTTAATTCTAGAAATTTTTTAGTACTATTAAGTTGTAATGCATGCTTTTAAATCAGAAAATACATTTATTATCACTTTATTTTAATTACTCAATTTTCAACGATTATATTATACAGAAATCACTAAATTAACAAAAAAATCACTCAACTATCTATAAATCACGAATGTATATAACTTGTCGACCTCATTTTGGATTGAGGCATCGTGACACTAAAAAATTAAAGTATATACCTCAAAAAATCATTTTGTATGATATTCATAGACAAATTAAGTTGAATCATTTTTTTAAAAAGTAAAATAATTTAATGACTTGTATACTACTTGATCAATGTTAGAATAACTTTATGGTTACAAACAAAATTTTGATGACCTTTTGTAATACTAATTATGAGGCAGAGTTAATTTTATGTTTTAAAAATAATAATTTAGTGACTTTACTCAATAAAATAAAAAATTAAGATAATTATATGTATATATATATGTTAGACGTCATTTTAGTGCTTTTGACCATCGCAAATTCTTGAGTGTTCAGTTTACATTATAAAAATATCTCATCTTATAGTTTGAAAAATTATACGATAATTTTAGCAAACCCAGTTGGATGTTTCTGCTAAATCGTTTATATTTTAATTAAAAATTAAAAGCTAGTGGGCCTTAATATTTAATTTGATTTAACTTTAAAGTCCCAGTTGAAAAGTATTATTGATTCAGATGTTATTATATATATTATTATTATAAGGGATAATGCACAAGTACCTCTCAACCTATGTTTGAAATCTCAAAAATACACTTATACTATACTAAGGTCTATTAACCCCTTAACTTATTTTATTAATAATTTTCTATCACTTTTCGATTTACGTGACACTATCTTGGGGGTCCAACGCTAGTTGACTTTTTTTTACAAA